TACTAGGAATTAGAAGTTGTGAGCTTTTGTCAAATATATTGTGAGCATAACCTCTAATATTTGTAACAAAATCCTTATGTTATTGTTACCATTTAACAATTGTCATAATGTGACACACCCCATGCTTTTAAATTTTAGGTTGTAAAAGATAAGGGCCATTTCTATGTAGTATTTGTCATATAGCATCTAGTGCAATACCACACACAATTAAGTGCTTGATACTGCTTTTTTTTTTTTAAAGATTTTATTTATTTATTTGACAGCGAGAGACAGCGAGAGAGGGAATACAAGCAGTGGGAGCGGGAGAGGGAGAAGCAGGCTTCCTGCCGAGCAGAGAGCCCGATGTGGGGCTCAATCCCAGGACCCTGGGATCATGACCTGAGCCGAAGGCAGACACTTGACTGAGCCACCCAGGCGCCCCTTGATATTGCTTTTTGATGAGCAATAATAATGATTTTCTAAACAAGATTTATCAATCTCTGTGAAATAGAGAATGTGATATCTAAGCTATAAGAGATAAACACCATACGCTGGTCTATACTTAGGTCCTTATTTTTTTAGTTTGAATTCCATCACATTACTTTTTTCTCCCTTTTCTTTTTCATAGTATTGCATATTTTCAGCCTAGCGGAAAGGAAAATATATTTTTATCCCACCCTATTATTAACCTTTCAGATCTTACGTTAAAAATTTGGCCTATCCTTTGTCTTCTCTCTTCAAGCTATTCATATAAACTCAGTCTGTCTTTTGTTATGACCCTAGAAGATTAAATAATTTCTTTATTATTTTCATGAATTAATATGCAACAAACAAACGCAGTCATTCATCAGAAGGTATACTAATAATTAAAAAATTAGAACAATTTAATTAAGTTTGTGCACATTAGGACATGAAAAAATTATTTAAAAAAATTTATTCTTTTGGAATTTTACTTTTGTTCTCCCCATTCTCACCCCCACATCCCTACTTGTTTTCTTCATTCCATATGCAAGTGTCCAACATGGAACTCATGGAACATTTGACCATTTTGTATAGTGGCTAAGCTCACAGCATTTGGAGCTAGACTCACAAGGTGTGTGATTTGGGGTACATTATATATATTTTTGTACCTCAGTTTCCCCTACTGTATAAAATAAGACTATTAACAGTACTTACTTCATAGGATTAAAAAGATTAAATGTTGAAAATTCATGGACTTGTGGAAAGTTATAATAACACCTCACTCATAATTATTAAACCTGCAATAAATGCTAGCTATTACTGTCATCATCATTAGCATCATAAATAAGCATTACCATCAAGAACCTTGAATCTCTTGGGAAGACAAGGAAAGATCTGTGTCTTATTCCATTTTATGCACCTAGTGTCAGAAACTGCACCTGATAATTAGTATGAACTCAGTAAATATTTTTACTTTTCATAAATTGTGTTTGTTTGTTTGTTTCCACCAGTAGATGTTTAGAGGGATGGAATTTTGCTGAGGAGCCTTAGTCTTATGGCTTGGTTATCAATAACAGTAGAAATGGCATGAATTGACTTCAGATCTACAAATATTGCTGCTCTGAGATTCTCTGAATATGCAGTTGTCTCTGTTGTCCTTTGCTTTCCACCCCCCAGACTCTGAGTATACATTGATCTGATAATGTGTCCATTGCTATCATCTCCAGATGCAACATGTTACCTAAGAGGAAAGATGCCATCTCATTACAAAATAACTGAATGCTTCCTCTACACTACCCATGGGCTGCCCTCAGCCCTCCCCAGCCTCCCCAGCCTAGTGCAGAGAACTCTCCCATACTTGAGTATGGAGTTTCCTTGATAAGTATGAACACAGATAATCCCCATTATGTGTTGAATATGCTATGTGAATGAGCTCCAAAGAAAATAACCAAAGTATTTATTTTCTAAACAAACCAGTTCAGATTCAATAAAAGAAACAAGAGGGCTATCAACCAAAAAAGTTTTTTTATGCTCTAACCCACAGTGTGAAAGACCCCGATCTTTTTTTTTAAAGATTCATTTATTTGAATGAGAGAGAGAGAGAGAGAGAGAGCACATGAGAGGGGGGAGGGTCAGAGGGAGAAGCAGACTCCCTGCTGAGCAGGGAACCCGATGTGGGACTCAATCCCAGGACTCCAGGATCATGACCTGAGCTGAAGGCAGTCGCTTAACCAACTGAGCCACCCAGGCGCCCTGAAAGACCCCGATCTTAAAGACAAAATGTCTTAGGGGAGCCTGGCTGGCTCAGTCACTACAGCATGCAACTCTTGATCTTGCAGTTGTTAAGTCTGAGCCCCACATTGGGTATAGAGATTACTTAGAAATAAAATCTTAAAACAACAACAACAAAAATCCAAAAAATTTTAAGCTATATCTTTCTAATATTAAATTATAAAAAAATTTAAGATGCCACTAAGAATATTTATCTTTTATGCTACGTTCATGGACCATACATTATTTTAAACCCTAAACTATTAGCCATCTTCATAGATTATGCAAAACTCTGTTAACTTAGATAATTCTTTGAAATTCCAGACAGAATTCTTAAAATAATGCATGGCTTGCAAACTTAACTTCAAAAAGATCTCCCTGATTTCAAGGACTGACAGATTTATTAGTAGATGAAGTTTGTCTACTTAGTAGAACAACATAGGGGAAAAAGTTGGAGCAATACTGAATTATAGGGGAAAATTCACACCCCGTCCAATCCTCCACCCCAATCACTGCAGCAAGTTGTAAATGATGTATGAAAGGACATCAAAACCCCTGCCCAATGCACAGGAAGAATATAAACACTGCTCTGTAATCACTGCAGTGATGTGCTATTTGCTAAGATTTTCTGTTTAGGTGAACCCAGAAAAAACTCACATCATCTACAAATCCAAAAAAGAAATCAACCAAAATGAAATTATATTATTTTACTAGATGCAACACTCTCCTCTTTTCCCCCCTTTTTTCTAGCCATAACATATTTATTGACTATTAGACATATTTATTGATACTGATATATATATATTTATTGATACTGCATATCAGGATACTGAAGCATTACTGAGGAGTACGTCTAACAAAAAGATGTTAAAAACTTTTTAAAAAGGAAATGTCAAAACACATATATTAAAAAGAGGATACCAGAAAGATTTTCCAACCCAGAGTCAACCACACCTGGGTCTGAACCCCAGTTTTGTTTGAACCTTAGGTTTGACTCTAGCTGCGTGATTTCACACATCCTTTTTTTTAACTTCTCTGAGCTTCAGTCATTTTCCTTTGTGAGATGGAGATAATAGTACCCACAATTTAAAAATTAAATTTGAAGACTAAATGAAATCATGTAAGTAATAAAGCACAATACTTGGCACAGAAGGGTATCTGTGAAGTGTGGGTCATTTTCTTTCTTTCCATTTCCTGATGGAAGTACCTGTTAAAGTCATGGAAAGAATGTTGCATTCTGAACTGGAAGTCTTAGGTTGTCACTTTTCACTTTTTAATTTATGAGACAATTCAGTTGACCTTTCTGAATAGATATTAGCTAATTTTTTTTAAGATTTTACTCATTAATTTAAGACATAGAGATTCAGATAGACAGAGAGCATGAGCAGGGAGAGAGGCAGAGAGAGAGGGAGAAGCAGGCTCTCCACTGAGCCAGGAGCCCTGATTCGGGGCTCAATCCCAGGACCCCGGATCATGACCTGAGCCAAAGGCAGATGCTTAAGGATCTGAGCCACCCAGGTGCCCCAATATTAGCTAATTTTTAATGAAAATAGGTATTAGTTTTTTTCTGTAAGAAAAATATATGATAATGTATACATTAAAATGTTCAATAAGTGCCAGGTTTTAATATTATAAATTAACATATATGAATCAAACATATATAAATATATAATACCCAAGTTTTTATGAATCTGTTCCTTAGGGACATGACAAACTACAGTTATTTTATTCTAAAATGATATAATGAGAATTTTTTTTTTGGCTCAGTTTCTTCAAGGTCATATTTATTGGAACTATCTCATAATAAACTGCAAGATGTCCTCAGAATGCAAAGGTTAAGGATAAGTGTATTGGAATTGGACTCCAGGACACCTGGTTTTATAGTTAAACCCAAGCTGCAACTTATCTTTTCTATCTTGGCTCTCTCTGAATCTTTCAGTTGCCTTAATTAGCTATGGAAGTTGATGCTGAGTGTTTACCCCATGCCAGACTACATTTCCTCTTTGCATACACAGGTGCAAGGCACCTTTGAAAAAATTAAGGCTTAGGTCCCACTATATTTCAAACAATAGCTAGTATTTTTTAATTCTTTTAAAACTTTCTCCCAGTAGATAAGGTTGCAGAAAGCAAACTGAGGCAGAGGAATTACCCCATGCTACTGATAAGAATCCACATCAAAGTTGTGCTTTCAAATGAAGTGACATTCCTAATTCAAATGTATAGCTTCATATGCATAAAAATTAGTTGATCACCAGAGGAAAATAAAGTAATTTTCAAAATCTAATTTAACTCATTATTAATAAGACCATGAACCAAAGAGAATGAAAGATGTCAAGAAAAAGAGAAAATATACCTTAGCCAATAATAGGTGTCATTTCCTACTTAAAAAAAAAATTAATCAGGGCGCCTGGGTGGCTCAGTTGGTTAAGCGACTGCCTTCGGCTCAGGTCATGATCCTGTAGTCCCGGGATCGAGTCCCACATCAGGCTTCCTCCTCAGCGGGGAGTCTGCTTCTCCCTCTGACCCTTTTCCCTCTCATGCTTTCTATCTCTCATTCTCTCTCTCTCTCAAATAAATAAATAAAATCTTTAAAAAAAATTAATCAGTAAGATTTGAAAAGAGAATGAGGCCTATTCATTTTGATCCTGTGGCAATACTTTGAAGCTTACTTTTTAACCTAGTCTATTTTACATTTCCAGATGTTATGAAAGGCAATGTATGCAGAAAGCAACACCAATGGGGATTTGGGTATTTCATTTTCCCCACTGTAGTGGTGATTTGGATCTTACTTTTTCTGAAAGCATCTTTAAAGAATTCTTCAAGCTGTCTGGAGAATGCTGGCTTGCAGAATTAAGCAGTAGGTCTGCATGGGTTGCTATCAGAGGTTGTAGTTGATTGATGTTGCTGAGAACTTCTTTTGCTTTGGCTGTGTTTTCAGGTGAATAGTAAATAAACTGGTATCCAGTACTGGAACAACAAAGATAAAGGCAAGTTACACAAAAAAGCAGAAAGAATTTGCAGCCCTTAGTACCAGATGGCAAATGAGAAACAGAACTCCAAATAGCATGACTTCCTTTTGAACAGATAAGAACTATTCTAAGAGGTTTATATGATGTCCTAAGAGTTTTTTAACTAAAATGACCAAGATATTTTTTAAGACCAAGATATTTTTTTAAAGATTTTAAAAGTGAAATACATCGAGTTTTGCTCAACCACAAGGAAGATTCTTTATAATTACATATGTCAGGTATTAGTATTCAAAATAAAATTATTGTTAGTTATTAATAAACTTGAAGTCACATTAGTACAGAGTGAAAAGAAAAGTATGAGCTTTTATATTCAGGCTAATTTGAATGTTAATCCTGGCTCTGCCACATACTAGCTGGGTGACCTTAGGCAGGCTTCAGTTTCCTCCACAGGAAATTAGGTATAAATATACAAGAATTCTAAGAGGTGGCTAAGATTGGTCATAATCCATGTGAAATGCCTACAATAGTGACTAACACAGAGCAAGCATTCAATAAATACTACCTATATTTTCCCCCATGATAGGTAGGGCAGAGTGAGTAAATTTTAATAGCTGAGAAATGGGGAGAAAATATATTAATGCCAAGTGGGCATAAGGAGAATTTTATTGGATAGAACAAGAATATTTATAGCATAAAAATTTCATTATGCTATTTTATCATTACCCATTTTGTTCCTAGTGTTTTCTCATTTCACTTGGAAAAAAATGTAAAATTGATTACTAATTGAAGAATTACTGACTTTTATAATCATCATCTAAGAACTGGTCAAGCATATTATGGGGGTAAGGATTCCATGGAATGAAGGAATCTTTGGATTAGGAAAGACAAAGGAAGCATTTCAGCAGGGAAAGGAATAAACCAGCAAAATACCAGCCAAAGTGAAAGAAGAGGGAAGTTCACTTGGTTGGTGCAGCACTTGCCTACATCTCTTTGCATCCAACTGTCAAAGCATTTTTCATATATCTTGTACTCTGTGTTTAGTATTTATTATTTTCTCTACACTTACCAGTTAAATTACTAAAATTCCCATAATTCCATTTTTTATTTAGAAATATTAGAATCCAATGAGAAAAACTAACATCTAGGGAGCACTCCTCCTCCCCTTCCATTTACACTAATGACTTTTAGGGGAAAGTACCAGTTTCTTTAGGAAGACAACACTCTTTCTTGTAAAGATATAATGGATATTCCTATAATTTTATTTATGTATTTATTTATCACAATGATCAAAAGAAAAACCCTTGGTTGCTTGGACTATTCAGAAGCTAGGGCAACAAGTTGATGAGGGATACAGGTTTGCGAAGGCTAAGAAATATGTCGCTAGTGTGTGACACTTAGGAGAATTTGCTCTTAATTCTGTACTTACAGACTTTTACATTTCAGAAGTGGGAGCCTAAAAATAAAACATACCTTAACCACTTATTACATATATTTCAATGCAAATTAAAGCAAATGAACAAAGAACAATGGTGAAGAGGAGAAAGAAAACATTCTTCCCTGCCAGTTATCTATAACTTTTTCTGGTTCATCTGATCTCATGCGAAGCGTGCTAAGGCCTCTAACAAAAATCACCACCTGTGATGTCTCCCTTACTCATCTGTACTCAGACCCGATACAAAGTTCAATCCACCACAGTGGATTAGGAAATGAAACAACTCCGTGTTATTTTTGCAAAGAAAGTGATTATCTAAAGATATTGGTGGGTTGTGGGGGTGGGGATGATGTTTGATACTGAGCACCTCTGACAGCAGAGAGAGACTTAATACACCCCAACATAGAAAGCAACATGCAGTAGCTGCTTGGTGGTCCCTTTCCACTGATCTGCTCTTCTGTCATAATTTGCTTTCTTCTGTCAACTTCTGGGTACTGACAGGCCTTCCACGGCTTAGCTCTTGGAAAGCAGAGTTATGGAGGCCATGTGTGGTCTTCCATCTTTCTCTTCCCCTAACTGTCCTCTTTGAGGGTGTCATGCCTGCCCTCTCATAATTCAATCCCATGCATTCTTTTGGCTTCTGTCACCATTGCCTTCCTTCTTTACTCATCTCATACTTCCCTGGCATTTCATTGTTACTTTATTCCTGAACGTTACCTACTTTCATTATTATTATTATTTTTAAAGATTTTATTTATTAATTTATTTGAGAGAGAGCGCGTCAAGGCACAAGAGCAGGGGGTAGGGGTGGGGGGGGTGGAGAGGGAGGAGGAAAGAATTCCAAGCAAACTGCGCTGAGCATGGAACCCCAGAGCCCCACGTGGGGCTTGATCCCCCCATCCCAGGACCCCGAGATCATGACCTGAGCAGAAGCCAAGAGTCAGACGCTCAAAAGACTGAGCCACCCAGGCACCCCTACTTTCATTATTTTTTTTCTACATATTTCTAATTCTGCAAATTCCTTTAGACTCTCCTCTCCATTTGAGTCTCCTACATACATTTTCAAGATTTATTTCTTACATGTTCTTTCCCTATTGTTTCAGTGGTCCTCAAATTTTAGCAGGCATACGATTCACTTGGGGATGAGGAGAGGGCCTGGGTATTTGTTTAAAAAATGCAGATTCCCTGGCATCAGTGGGTCGTAGCATCTGTAACAGCCACCTCAGGAAATCCAGCTGATGCACAGGCAGAGCTGAGCACTTTTAGAGACACCTGCTGCCCTTGTTTTGGCTGTGAATCCCCTCTAAGCCCTTGATCTTGCTAGCAACGACGCCGATAAAGGTCCTTTTTCTCATTCTAACTTTCAAGTTCCTTGTTCCTAAGTTATTCTTATTTCCATGATACCCTTTACAAGGCTACCCTTGTACTATACATCTTTATATCTAGCACAGGTTGTTCTGCATCCCTTCTCATTATCAGCGCTGCCTCTCCTCCCTATATTCATCATCTTTTCATCTTTTCCCTCCCAGCATACTCCCTTTCCTCTTCTTCTCCTTCCCCAATCTCCATCATGGGACGCTCCTATAACTCCCGCCCCCTGCTCCTAAGTCAGTCTCCATTGGAGCAAAGTTACATATCAGGCATTGGTTCTCCCCATTAGGTCATTTAATGATGAGCATCATACCTTGTGAAGCAGAAAGATTCATTTTCCACAATAAAAGCCAATGTTGATGTCCAGGATGAAATAGTATGGTGTGGAAAAAAATATATCACCACCCACAAAATAATTTTAAGTGTACATAAGTTTCCTTTACTATTCAGTGCCTTACTCTTCAAACATGTCATATATTTTAACAGATACAGCTTTTTAAATGGAAAGTTATGAGTATAATTTAATTATTGAGATAAAAAGAATATAGCTAAACTCTATTTTATAGTGGTCTGAAATTTAAACTGAATCCAAACACTTGAATTAACTATCAATCAGACAAAACCAAAAGAAAGACAAAGTATTTGCTTGGACAAAAAATATTTTATAGGATGTCAATAATATAGCAAATCATGGACAATGAAAATTGAAATTAATTTCATAACATTTTTCTACTGATGAAACGGAATTAGAGTATATATCTGTATGTATATATATATTTAGCATATATATATATATATGCTAAAATATATATCTATTTAATTATGTATCAGTTTCATTAGAAAACAGGCACAACACACACACACACACACACCCATCACTCACAGGGGCATGTGCATGTTGTTACCAGAGGTGCCATATTCTCAAGTTGTAAAGAAAAATAAAGCACATAGTGAAATCACATTCGTATTCATAAACTCTAGTTGCTAACCAAAATACAACTAAAACAATGACTGTCCGTTCCTGTGTGGTTATTCCACCTCAGTTGCTTTCCGCTGGTCCTCCTTATCTCCCCATCCTCTAGTGTTGGCACCTTCCAAAACCCACTCCGTGGGGCACTTCCTTTTTTTAGTCTCCATGCCCCTCCTGAGTAATTTCATTTAATCTTCTGGTTTAAATACTTCAGTTGTGATGATTCCCAAATTCACAGCTCTAGCCTATACCTCTTCCCTGAACTCTAATTAAAAACAAAAGCTCTCCTCCTCACAGCTCCAATTTATCATGTCCCAAACTGAGCTCCCTCTCTGCTCCTCACAACCAGCTCCTTCTGTACACTTTCCCATCTCAGTTCACGGCAGGTCTGTTTGATGTGGTGTATGTTTCTTCTCTTCCTCTTTTACCTTTGTCCATTCTTTCCTCCAGAAAATTCTGCCTTTTCCTTCAAAACACAAGCAGATTTCAACCATTTATTTCCATACTTACTGCAAAAGCCCTGGTGCAAGCCACCATCATCTTCTACCCTACAAACTGGTCTTCCCATCCCTATCCTTTACTCTAAGACATTGAAATCCTTGACTTAGCTTAGGGTTGAAGGAGGCAGGGGGCAGGTGAGGAGAGAGAAATAAAGCAATTCATCCTTAGTTTCCTGCTCACACCCAGACCCTGGGACTTGCTCTGCCACTTCTCCCCACACCACCGCAACCTCCACCCCTTAACCCATTTGCCCAACTAAGCCATTATTTTGGTAAGTAGAGTCATGGAAGAATATAGATGAGAAATGAAGAAGAGGCAAGGAGGGGAAAAGGGAAGGAAAAGATCAGGGAGAGGCACAGGCAGAAGAGGATTAAGGTTGAGGAACAGAGAAAAAAATGATAAAGAATAATGTGCCTCTGCTTCTGTGGCCGAACTAAATCTCCAGAGGAAAAGCCTAAGGACTATGTTTTCCCAACTCAAGCCCTACTTGTAAAAAAACGATCTCTTGAATCCAGACGGAGGGACAGACATTCTCTCAGTTCTAACGGAGAAGAAAACTATGTGGATTATAAATGAAAATGGACACCTTAGTGCACTTGAATATACCCTTTTGGCTTCACAGGGTTTAACAACATGCTTCATGAAATTGTAGAAGGTAAAAGCATACCTCTCTGCTTCCCCCATTGTATCCTTTCTATTTTTTGCAAGAAGTATGGCTTAGAGA